TGATGCTTGGTGCCCCTTTCTCCCACACGGGAGTGAAATTGTCCCTTAGAATGATGCTTGGTGCCCCTTTCTCTCACACAGGAGTGGAATTCTTTCTCAGAATGATGCTAGGTGCCCTCTTCTCTAACACAGGAGTGGGTCATCTCTTAGAATGATGCTAGGCGCCCCCACCTCAAACACAGGAGTGGAAATGTTGCTTAGAATGATACTTGGTGCCTCTTTCTGTAACACAGGAGTGGAATTGTCTTTTAGAATGATGCTTGGTTACAATTTCTCTCACACAGGAGTGGAACTGTATCTTAAAATGATGTTTGGTTAAAATTTCTCTCACACAGGAGTGCAACTGTATCTTAGAATGATGCTTGGTTACTATTACTCTCACACGGGAGTGAAATTGTCCCTTAGAATGATGCTAGGTGCCCTCTTCTCTAACACAGGAGTGGGTCATCTCTTAGAATGATGCTAGGCGCCCCCACCTCAAACACAGGAGTGGAATTGTCTTTTAGAATGATGCTCGGTTTCTATTTCTCTCACACAGGAGTGTAACTGTTTCTTAGAATGATGCTTGGTTACAATTTCTCTCACACAGGAGTGGATTTGTTTCTTAGAATGATGCTAGGTGCCCCCTTCTCTCACACGGGAGAGGAATTGTCTCTTAGAATGATGCTTGGTGACCATTTCTCTGACACAGGAGTGGGTCATCACTTACAATGATGCTAAGTACCCTTTTCGCTCAGACAGGAGTGGAATTGTCTCTTGGAATGATGCTACATATCCCTTTCTTTCAAACAGCAGTGGAATTGTCTCTTAAATGATGCTAGGTACCCCCTTCTCTCACACAGCAGTGGAATTGTCTCTTGGAATGATGCTAAGTACCCCTTTCTCTCACACAGGTTTAGATATGTCCCTTAGAATGATGCTTGGTCCCCCGTTCTCTGACACAGGAGTGGATCATCTCTTACAATGATGTGAGGTGCCCCTTTCTCTCATGAGGGAACGGGTCATCTCTTAGAATGATGCTAAGTACCCCTTTCTCTCACAAAGCAGTGGGTCATCTCTTAGAATGATATGCGGTGCCCCTTTTTCTCACGCTTGAGTGGAATTGTCTCTTAACATGATGCTAGGTAGCCCTTTCTCTGACACACGAGTGGAATTGTCTCTTAGAATGATGCTTGGTGCTCC